TAGCGTATATAAAAAATATCAATTAAAAAAAAATTGTAGAGTTTTGGATATGGCTAGGCACTTGAGGGAACACCATTAATCGATAATATGACTTTAGCGGCAACGGAAGTGTCGGTGAACTCTTCATTGATAGGGATATTTTTTGTGACAAGACACTATGCTCAAAATAGTACCCCACAACGGAAAAATGTGGACGTAAAACGGGAAAGTCTATCAACATGACTCGAGTTAGGATAACATGGTTCATTAGCTCACTCTTACTTTAAAGTCGAGAAACGATTTATTTTATCGAATGTATGACCCACTCTACATAACGCAGAAAAGGATAGAATAGATTATACATGGTGTTGCGTTGAGGGTGGTTAGCATGTCTTAATCTTGGCTGTAATTGTCTTAACTTGTCCATTACTCTCTTGGAGAAAGGCTAAGGGTCTGTTCCCTTTATCATTTTCAAGCCGTTTTCTGTTTTCGATTTTTCAAAATAGTGAAAACGTGTTTTCTTTTCTATTTTTGAAAACGCGTTTTTGAAAACAAGTTAAAAATTTACAAAGAAAACCAAAAACAACAAATTTTTCATTTTGGGTGTGTTCAAAACAATTTTTCAACATTCCAAAAAGAACACATTTTCAACAATCTCAAAATGGACACTCAAAACACAAAATTCAAAATGAATTTAAAACTCAAAACACAAAATTGAATCACAAAGAGGTTATTCTCTTTACCATTTTCAAGCCATTTTCTGTTTTCGATTTTTCAAAACAATGAAAAAGCGTTCTCTTTCCTATCTTCAAAAACACATTTTTGAAAACAAATTAAAAATTTACGAAGATAACGCAAAACGACAAAAAAAACACATTTTCAACAATCTCAAAATGGATACTCAAAACACAAAACTGAAACACAAAGAGAACAACCCCTAAATTACTATACCAGTTACATGTCGGATTGTGTCATATCAAATAATCATATGACTAGTAAAAGGTTGTTAATTGTGCGAAGAGTTCAAAATTCCTCGAAACAGTGCAAAAAAATGAATTAAATGATTTAATTTGATTCAATGAAATACTCGGAGTCAAAAGAGTTTTAGAAAAATTGATTTTATTTATATCAAGATTTCTTATGTTTTAACATAAAGTCAATATGTTCTTTTTATTTAAAAAAAATAAATAAATAAAATCTTTGAATGGATCTGATTTGATCTTGTAACTTAATTACAATAAATGGGTTGGTGATGATCAAAGTAACATTTAATTTCTAGTAGGTAAAATGTAATATTTGCATCCCCAAAACATTAATATGAAAATAGTCCTACACGTCATTTGATGTTTGTCTTATTATAAATTAATATTAAATAAGTAAATAAATAAATAGAGTTGTTTCCAGTTGTGCCTTAATTATCTTTTTGAGCTTGAAATTAAATATAATTTATATTTCATTTGGATTTTGTGACCGTCAACCCTTTTTTGGCTTCGGATCAGAATTTGTTTATCAGAATTTATAATCGTCTTGATAATTTTTTCGTATGTTGTTTTTTAATGGTTCTCCCTGACTGGGTGACTTTTTGTCTGTTTCTAGCATTGATCCAACGGCGGAGGTCCATATTTAACTTTTTGAGAGTTTGATTTTAATTGATTAAGGATTGTTAAAAGTATTTTATACACATTTTTGAACTTAAAAATATAGACATTTAATAGTTCTTTGGAATAATTATAGCCTAATTTATTGTATATTTCGTTTATTAGGTAAAATTCGATGAAAGAAAATAGATTTGAAAGAAATAAGTAAAAATTGACGGAAAAAATGGCAATATCCAAAGTTTGGGGACTAAAGTGTAAATACTCAAAAGTTGTGTCGAAACTCACGATGAAGATTCAAGAATGCTATGGGTCAATTGGATACAGTTAAGTCAAAAGGGGTGAAATATGACCAGAATATTTTCACAAATCAATTTTCAACCGCACAAGGACGTTCCATATTTTAAGTCGGAGATTGAGACCATTTTTTACCAGTAAACATTCGAATTGGAAAATATATACTGCTGGTAAAGTTGTAGCCCTTTGAGTTATTTTTACAACCCAATTTGAATCGCCTAAATCGGATATCATGAGAGAAAATTATGATACAAACATTAAAAGAGGTGCAGTTCTGAAATTTTTCCGAAAGGTGACACTGCGGCGCCACTCCCATGGCACAAAGGCGTCGTCTGGGCGTATTTAGGGAGCATTTTTGACCCATTTTGAAGCCTTTAAAATCCTACATCCGACAAAAACGTGGGAATTAGTATAAATACAAGTTTTTGAGACTTTTGAAGGAGTTCCACTCAATTTGGGGAGAGAGAAAAACACATAATCATCAAGATCAAAGAGGAAAAACTAGGATTTAAAGACTTTTGAGACTGAAAAAGATTCTTGGTGCAGGATTCATTTATTTCCATGATCAACCTCGTAATGTACTCCATACTTTTTTATGTTTTATTTCATGAATTTAATGCTTTGAATTCTTTGGTCAATTATTTAATGATTTTGTGAGTCTATTACGAATCGAGAGGTGAGTTTTAGATTCAGATCGCATAGTAAAATTTGATAATTTAGTATAATGTGTGGAGATATATACACTAATTATTACGATCATTAGATGAATTTTTATAACTAATATTTCATTTAACTAAGATTGATTCACATAAAGATATAAAATTGAATTAATTAAATAAACTCAATGAGAACTCGAAATGGGTAAGTTGAATACTTTAGAAGAAATCGACCGAACGCTACAATAGTAATGATTCTTGATTGGCGAATCAAAGGCGATCCATAGGTAAAATTGTAAGTTCTAGCATCCACATTCATACTTTTAAAATTCAAATTCGATAAATTGTATACATTAGATAATTTAATTTAGTTAGAATAGTTAGAGAGTAATCACAAACATTATTATTTGATTTCGATCAAATTAAAGTTAGAATAATTTAACCAATTATTAAATAGTAGTTCTTGTTGGAACAATATCCGAACTCATTGGTTCACTATATTATTTGTTACGATTCGTACACTTTCGTGATATAAAAATCTGCAACAAGGATTTAAGGTGAACTTTGATATTATCATTTCTTGTCGACATTAGATTTAGCCCCTGTTTGGCACCCATTTATTTCTCATTCTCATTCTCATTCTACATTTCAACCACACATTCTTCAATAAAATAATATTACACGTAAACTCAAAACTTTTTTTTTATTTTTTAATCACACACTTCTTATTAGTACATCATTCAAAAATGCATTTTTTTTTTTTGGACAAGAATGGGGCTCA